TCTTAATCAGGATATTAATAAGGAACTAGCAGTTTATGAAGCTTTTGGAATAATCCACCAATTTTTTAAAATTAAACACTATCTAAAGATTTGCATCGAAGCGTTTTTTTTTTATAGTGATTTTAATCACTGTCAGATATCATTATACTTGATCCAACTATGCCACGTCACCACTGTGCCGCGACCCCCCTGTGCTGGGTTTTTTTTTTTTTAATTTTAATAATTTTTTACACACAAAAAAATGCAAATACTCATTTTACATAGTTTTTTAAAGAGTTTAACTCAAAATTACGCAATATTACGATTACACTAATACATGCATGTTGTAGAAGAACTCTTAAGCTACAATTAAAAAAAAAAAAATTTTGCGTCAGATTGCATTTGAGCCGTGCACATATAATTTTCCCTATAATAAACGTGTATTTTCGTAAAAATTGTAATTTTAATCATTTCATTGGTTTTATCAGTTCAATCAACTTTATCAGCTTTTAAACAACAATAAATTTTCATTACAGTTGATATTCAATTGTAAACATTTGTTTATCAATTGGGACAATTTATCCCAGAAAAAGGCCAAGCTTATATCAGATCTGACTTTTATGAAGAGATGCAGAGACAAAAGAATAATACCACAATGCGTTGTTATTAATCATCCGATGAAAAACACAGGTGCGAGAAGAATTTTAGAAATGGCCAGTCAAAAACTATTACGGAATGAAATCATGTACATCAGAAGGAAACTGGCTAACATTGACAATGACCTAACTGAAGTAAAAAACAAACTGAACACGGAACTTGAACAAGACACCCTATCAAGATTAACAAATATGGTCGAAAAACAACAAACTAAAGTGTACATAAAAAGGGAAAACAAACAAGTAGAAAAATTTAAAAGGCTTGAAGGGAAAATCCAGAATAAAGAAAAGCCAAACCACAACTCCAACAAGAAAACTGCAGTTGTCAATTTAACTGACAAGGAATTGACTAATAATGAACTAATTATTCTGGAAAAAGGTTTTAATTTTTCGTTAGTTCCAAAGAAAATCCCAAAGGAGGATATTATAAGCAGTATAGAAAACTCGCTATACCAACTTGAAGACCATGAGAAAGAAATCATCAGGCAAGAAAGTTGCAAAATTCTAAGAGAAGCAATCTTACCGAAACAAAACTACAACAAAGATGAGTTAACTGCACTCAAAAATTTAAGGAACGACAACAATGTCATAATACTTAGAGCAGATAAAGGGAACGCAACAGTAAACATGAAAACCACAGGAAGAAGGACCGTATAAAATCATTAAAAGAAATATGAATATTATAAAAGAGAAAAAATGGATAGATGAAAAACTACAAAGCTTATTGGAAATATGCACCAAAACAACAGTTTTCACATACCAAGATACTATCTACGAACAAACTGATGGAATGGCAATGGGATCAAGACTAGCACCAGTATTTGCCAACATATTTATGGAATGGTTTGAAGCGGAAGCAATGAGCACGTATACTCAAAAACCAAAAATGTGGTTGCGATATGTAGATGACACATTCGTTTTATGGCAACACGGCGAGGACAAACTACAATCTTTCCTGCAACACTTAAACAGCATACACGCCAATATACAGTTCACAATGGAAACTGAGGAAAACGGAAAATTGCCATTCCTAGATGTAATGGTAAAAAAACAGCCTAATGGAAAATTTGGCACAGGAGTGTATAGAAAAAGTACACATACAGATAGATATTTACATGCCGATTCACACCATTGCCCCTCACAGAAAATGGGATTATTACACACAATGGCAACAAGAGCTGTCAGAATAGCTGATGAAAACCATGTGAATGAGGAAAAAACATACTTACGACAAGCACTAAAGAATAATGGGTACACAATTAAAAATATTAATAAGGCAATTAAAAAAGCAGAGAAAAGAAAAAATGCAACGCGTATCATGGATGACGAAAATAATGAAGATGAAAAGAAAGGAACATTAATACTGCCGTACATACAAGGAATTACCGACCGCATATCAAGAATCGCACAAAAATTCAAATTAAGAACCGTTTTCAAACCAAACACAGTAGCAGGATCACTACTCCGAAACCCGAAAGATAAACTGCCAGAGATGCAAACACCAGGAGTATATGAAATACCGTGTTCATGTGGTAAATCTTATATTGGACAAACAGGAAGAGCTATTGCGACAAGAATAAAAGAACATGAAAAAGATGTGGAGTACCAAAGAACAGAAAAATCTGCAGTAGCTGAACATGCCAAAAACAAAGGACATGACATACAATTCGATAAAGTAAAAATACTTAACAAAGAACCTCATTTTGGCAAACGGATGTACAAGGAAGCAATAGAAATCGAAAAATGTCCGGAAAATTTTAACAGAGAAGATGGATGGAAAATCAGCAAAACTTGGTTACCTATCATACACCAGACAAAAAGGAAATTAACCAACAACACCGAAACTAATTCAATATACGAAGAGGCAACAATCAACATAACAAATAATTGCCGGTGTAGGAAAGGAAGACCGAAATGTCAAGAATGCCGTAAACAACGTTAGTTAAAAATCGAGATGTTGTCAACGACATTAGTCAAAAACTCGAAACGTTCAGCAACATTAGTCAAAAACCCGGATACGGTAAACTACATTAGTCAAAAACCAGATGTGGTCAACAACGTTAGTCAAAAACCAGATGTTATCAATTATATAAAAGCAGACTGTTATCAAGATAAGCCGCCAGTATAGTTGCAGCCACCGACTAGCAACCATCACTCTGAAGATGGACTCTGCAATGAGTCCGAAACGTCAGAACTCAACTGTAAACATGGATTATTTTATTTAAAGTTAAGAAAGTTTTAAAACAAATAGTTTTTACTATTTAAATCGAAATTCACCGATTTAAATATTAGCAATTTTTTAGTCGATTTCGGACATTTACGCGGAATTAGTGAAATTTATTTAATTTTAAGGATAATGTTATCAACTATATATGATTTATAATCTTTTAACGTATCATTAAAAAAAAATCGGTCCAGTGAGACCTGAGAAATAGTAGTAACCGACCAAAAAAAAAAAAATATAAACACACCATTGTAAATTTAATACCTTCTCAGATTCGTATCAAGCTAAAATAAAGTTGACAATATTATAAGATGTAAGGGATGAATTAAAAAAATAATAATAACTGGTAAATTGAGAAATATTTGTATAAATATTAAAGAAAATTGAAGGCGAAATTAAAATTCTTGACGTCTAAACAAAAATACTTGAGCTGTGTTAGAAGATGTACATGGTTAAGATTTTGGTTAGTCCTGATGGAACAAGACATGATGACGTTTAGATCAAATGGAATATGCTAAGGGACAATATAGGGCATATGGTTGCTATCAAAATAAACTAAACATAAACAGAACTTAATCATAATATCATAGCGACTATCAATTTTTAAACCTTGAGACTTAGTACGTCCTTATGTGCATTTGTGCCAGAACAACAATAACACTTGTCCGAGCAGTCTGGCTGTTTGACATTCTTCTACCCGTTTTTTGTGGATTGATAGGCAATCCGTTTTTATGTTGCATACTTTTGACCATCATTAGCATTAGGTTTCAAACCAGCTCAAGGATGGACAAAACATCCTTGAGCTGGTTTGCTTAACGCTGAAATAGGTAATCTTGCTGGCTCTGTATTGTCCAAAATATTAACTCTGGTTTTAACAAATTTTAAAACATCTTCAATGATTGGATATTTCCTCGTATATCTATCTTAAATAGCCTTTTACTGTTAGCTGATACACGCCTGGTTGTAACCGAAAATAACAAGAACGATGCAAATTTTGGAATCTTCATAGAATAAAGGTAGCAATGCCTTTATTAATGATAATTAAGAATTCCTGTAATGTATTACAATTTTCTGCACCACTTACACATCCTCAATATATCAATGTACGGACGGTTTATCATACGTCTCAATTATAGTAGACTAGCCTATAGCATAAGTCTCTTCCATCATGAGAAATTCAGAACGATCCCACTGCAGGCAGCCTAAGAGATAATAAAACTTATCAATATTCGAAGGTCGTTAATGAATAAATGACTTAAATCGGTTACGAAAGTCCGGCTAATTCTTTTATCTGTCCGTCAAACTCGAGCAGAATGTCTAGTAATTTCGTCACACAAAAACACACGTGGTACGGAACTGTATTTCCGACTCTCCTCTCCTGTTGTCCACCTCTAAGACTTTAGTTGATAGATTTGACTGCCGAGCTTATAGTCTATGTTTCATCATATTTTTTATTATTATTGGCCTTATGTTGACAATACTATTATTATTATATATTTTAACGAGACAAACTTAATTAACAAATTTGAACATGGTACATTATAAAATAAAAATATAGTTTTAGCTTCGATGCGAAGCGGAGAAGGTATTAATTTTACTATGATGTGTTTTTTTTTTTTTTTTTTTTTTTTTTTTTTTTTT